CCTGAGGAGGGAGATGCCTGTGCTTTCTCCTGCTGCGCCTTGCTGCAAGGCGGTGCTCTCCGGAAAGTCCTTGAGCCGGAAAGCCGGGTCAAAAAGGGACGTGGTACGGCACAGCTCCCTTGAAGGTCTCCGAACCTCGATGAGGAAGGCGGCTCCGAACGCGCGGCGCTCCTGCCGCTGCTCCTGCGTTCGGGATGCTCGGTCCGCTCCGAGGTGCTGCGGGGCATGCCAAGACCCGTGCGGGATTTGCCTGCGCGGTAGTTGGTTCTGAATGGGAGGAGGGAAGATCTTAGGACTGGGTGACTGGAAAAACAGTTGAGGTGCAAGAAAGTGCTAAGCTATTTCAATCTTTTAGTATCTTTGCTGCATGGGAGATGTTAATAGTTTTGCGATTGTATTTACGGCCTGTGTTTATAAACATCTTGGATGCTGTCATCATTTAGTGAAACAGCGTTAATGTTTACAGCTTACTTGGGATGCTAAATTCTGTGTGTTCGTTGTGTTGGAAGCGATGTTTGGGTTGGTGACCCGTGTTGCGTAACAGTAGGTTAAGAGGTACACACACCAAGCCTCTGTTTTTTCACTATCAGATTAGCCTTAGTTTCTCTAACACTTGCGACATTTTCGGCCTTTTATTTTTTTGTGTAAAGCTGACTTTATACATAGAGTTCTTTGTGGATGTTGTCAAAAGAAAGTATCTGCCTTTATATATAGGTACTAACAAGTGGTCAGACAAACTAGCAATGGCTTTGTGTCTTCGCTGTTAGATGGTGGTCGTTCCAAAGTCCAGAGCAATTCCAGCCTTAAATGAATGCAGTAAGAAACTGTCGGTGTCATACATGTGGTGGTGATTGTCAGAATCTGCTCAGCTGTTTAAGAAACAATTAGAGCTTCTGACCAACAGGTACCAGTTTTGAGGTGAGCTGTATCACAGAAGAATTTTATATTAAGTTTGTTGGAGTACCTGGTAGATGCTTGCCAATGAATATATTTCAACCGTGAAAAATATTTAGTATGCTCTGTGGAAGAATCATGAAGGACTGTGCATAACCAGGGTTGCAATAGATAGTTAAAAAACACAGGATCTGTAGTGATGGAAATGCTATGCTTTATTTTCAAGCTAAATCATGTCTTGGTATAGTATATGTAATTTTTAAAAGACACTATTTTCTCTTTCACGTGACTGCTTTGTCTCTTGTTGAGTTATCTTTAAATAATTCTATTCTTTCCATTCTAAAGGAAAGACTCTGGTTAGATTGAACCCTGCCTATATGGTTGGCTTTTTTATTTTTGACAATTTCTTAAAAATTAGGGTTAAAACTGCAGTTTCTCATGAAAAGAAAGTTTAAGTGAATACTATTATGAGGATTTTTGACACGTGTCAGTGATAATCTCATCGACACAATTTAATATCTGAGTTGGTTTTATCTCTTGCCTTTTGGTTTTTTTTATCAAATATGGTTCTGAAAGAACTCTTAATTTTCTCACTTGATGCTTGCTTTTAAAGACGATGACCAGGTGGTGTTAGTGTTGGGTGAAGACAGCTCAGCTGGCTGCCCTTACCCAATCTAGCTCAGCTGCAGAAAACCTCAGTGAAGGTCAGGTGTGGGGAGCCTGTCAGGGCCCTGTTACGAGGTTGCTCAGTGTTTGTAACTGGATTTTCACCAGCTGCTTCACCCCTCGCATATCTGCTGTTTTAGAGGAAGGGGGATGTGACACAGACCTCCCCTTCACCAGAGAAGAAAAACTGATTTTGCTCGCTTTTAAATTGTGTTAGAAAATTGTACTGCTGTAAAACTTTACGTGAGTCAATTTCTTGTTTTTTTTCTCTCTCCTGTTCACTTGACTTCAGTGTGGAATGTTAAAGTTTCTTCGGAAAACATTTCTTATGGAAGAACTAATGCAAAAATGCAGGGCACGTGTTCTTGTTAACTTGTGTTGCTTCTGCATTTTATTTTTTGCAAAACTTGGTGTTTCTTTTCTTCTGAGACCTGTAGGAAACAATCCATGTAGACATACTGCTTTTACAGTGATAAGGTTAAACTGTACTGCTGGGAGTTAAGTGTAGATGATGTGTATGGAAAAGCGCACCTTTTCCCTGCGGCCTTAGATTTCAGGGGGGAGCAGTTTCCCTGGTTTGATCTATCACATATCCACAAAAACATTTGCTGTAGTTGGAGTGAGTGAAGGGGGTGCTATTTATTTCAGAAGCTGTGAGCTGGTGCTAATTCAAAATGTTCATTAAGCTGTGACACCATGTCCACAAAAGCACTGTACAGATAGCTGTCATTTCCCTATATTCATGCAGGCTGCCTGGCAGCAAAAACAATGTTTATTCCCATGGAGGCCACCTCCACACAGTAGAAAATAGTGTAAGCAATTTAGTAACCAAACTAAGTATGACTACTCTGTTAGAAACTGAGGGGTGAGTAATACTTTTTTTTATGAAAACTAGATGCTTAATAAGCACAAGCAGATACTGTCTTCATTTATTTTCTTCACTCTTAAAGGTCTTCTGAGGAAAGGTTTTTCTCTGCTCCTGTTTTAAGTTTGAAATGAATGTATTTCTGATTAAATTTTGAACTGCTCTGAGTAGAAAGGGAAAAGGAGTTTGAATGCAGGTAGTCTTAGAATATGATGTCTTAAAGCCTAAGAAATCAGGGAGTTGTTGAATTGGTAATTAGCTGCTACTTGTAAGTCAGAATTTGTTTGAGGCTCAAAGGTTATATTCTATATTTTTTTGCTCTTAGTAAAATATTTTTATTGCTAACATAGTTAAAATTTGGAGAAGATACAAGGAAGAATGTAAAATGCATTGCATGCTGTTTGTTCCTGTGAGCTGGAAGATTGAACATTTGTGTGTAATCCAAGAGAAACAGTCTACCAACCACTGCCACGTTTTCATCTATTGGTAAACATCAGCTGCTGGTTGGTCTTAAGGGAGGAAGACTGAATTAGTTCCAGATGGAGAACTCTTTCAGCCCATTTGAGACTTTCCAATTGATTTAAGACAGCAGGTCAGTAATTTAGGGGAGTAGTTTTGTTCTTATTTGCTGTTCTGCTTCCTGCCATGTGTGAAATCAGTGATATCAAATATGATATTGCAGTGCAGCTGAGGGTGGGAGTTTCATGGTGCTTAATTGCTTTTGTTTTTAATTGAGTAGTATAAACAGAAAAAGTATCAACAAAGTTGTGATAACTAACTGTTTTGAATGTAGAAGGGTATTTTTTTTAAGACTTTAAAAAGGAGGAGGAGTCAAGAATCTGTTTTTCTTAACAAATTCTCTTAAGGAATGCGTATTTTCCTTCAAATTGGCTAGTTTTGTCTTAAACTGGGTTAACACAAGTATATGGTTTGTTGCGAGTGTGTCAGAGCGTCTTGTACCCCGGTGTGCTGCTAGCATGATTTCCTGGTAAAATGGAAAGGGATAAGGGGATAGGGATGGAAACCTTCTGTGCATGGCTGTAATAACAGAAATAGAGAACATGAGGAATGGAAAACTTCAGTGTAAAGTAGCTGCTGTTTAGGATATGGAAACTGACAGGATATATTTAACTCTTTAGTACTGCTTTATGATTTATTTTGAGATGCCACACTGGACGTTAAAAAGGCACGAAGAAAATAGTGTATCCTATTGACGTGTTCACATGCTAACAAAGTCAGGGCAGGTTCAGTAGTTCTTGTTACAACTCTTGTATTTTTGCTTGCCATTGATTATTTCGTGTGCTGCCACTGTTTGATGCACTGTAGTGTTATGATCTCATTTCAGACAGCTTTTCCAAGATATCCAGTGATTAACTTCCCCGCCAAGAATTACTTTTTAACTGTGTAAGGTCCACCATCTTGTCTATCCAGCAAATGTCCTTCTGGAGAAAAGTATTTCAAATTTGATTTCCCCTATTGTTTGTTCATGGAGGAACAAAAGAGGTCTTGTCTGTCATTTCCTTCTCATCTGATTAATCCTATTTTTTTTTTCTTCATAAAACACAGACTGCAAAATAGTGTGTTTTAATGTTGCAGATAAGCTGCTCAGGTGCAATTTCTTTCTTAATACAGACTTTGAATCTGTTAGCATTATGATGCTAACTAACGTTACATGACTTGAGAAGAATAAAGGTCACTTTGTTGTTCTCTGTACTCTTCTACTGTAACTTGCCACATTTCATGTAATTTGTAAAAGGAGAAAGCTCTAGTTGCAAATGATTTAATGCCTTTTTCTGTCAGATCTTTTAAAAAGACTTTTATTGCAAGTACTAATATTGAATTGCAAGCTATAGCAGTACTGCAATGGCAAAATAAGTAATGTTGCATTATTAACAAGTAATTAAATAGAAAACAAGTCTGTTTGGAGAGCTCTTGGACATATTTTCCTACTTTGTTCACCTAGATCTCATAGTTGCCATGATAACTGTGTTTATGATTACTGGAAGTTGTCCTTGATCATTGATTGCTTACTTTGACTCGAGATGGTAACAGGTTAATTAGTACTAAGGGTACAGGCTCCTGGCCAGATTTTCTGGGTTGTGAAGATTTTTCTGTTGAGTGGTTATAAGAAGACCGTAGACTGAGATCAGAGAAACTGTAGAATCTTGAAGAGGAGTTCATTATAATGGAAAAGGCTGTGTTGACATGCTTTAGAAGAGAAAGAACTTAAAAACACATGAAGTCTTTTGCGTGTGCATGTGCCATTTTAGAATAAAAAAAATCTCCCTTATCTAAGTTCTTAGTGCTTAATCTTGGTATCATGATATCAGGAGTGCGAAATCCAGTCTGAAAGACAAGCTACAGAAGTCTTTTCATCTTTCATAAACTGCAGGTGAAATGTGGTATCTTTGCTGTGTTAGGGATTTAAAATGTCATTACATTCAGAGCTACATGCTTTTTTTCCTTCTTTCTTTTTTTTTTCATTCTTAGGCAGAAAAAATGGAATAGACCACATGAAGAAGCATGTGAAGTTTATTTTTATGCAAGATGTTATTTGGAGGACCAAGTACACTTTTTCAGGCCATGGGAGATGAAAGACTAATCACATGATATTTTTGTTCCGTCGAAGTGCTGTTCTGTGCTAAGTCAATGTTGGTTTGTATTAAGGACAAATGTTAATTTCTTAATGTCAGCATGTCGACTGTGGCAAGTGCTCAGACACCGGAGGAACCTAATCCTCCCCCCCTTGAAGAAAAGCCAAAGGGAAAATCACTATTTCATCTGGGTTCGCTCTTTGCTAACAGGAGTGAAAAATTTGTAATTGCTAGGAGTGATAGTGTACCAGAGGAGAACGTTCTGAAAATAACTATCACAGAGACTACGGTCATTGAGTCGGACTTGGGCATCTGGAATTCTCATGCTCTCATCTACCTCACTTTGTGGTTTTTCTTCAGCTTTTGCACTCTTTTTCTTAACAAATACATTCTTTCATTACTGGAAGGAGAGCCCAGCATGCTAGGTAACCCTACCTTTCTTTTACACTTTAATTCCAGTAAGATATTTGACAATACCAGATCCTCCTATATAAAGTTGAGGGACAAAATGGTTCAACTGAAGTGAAAAAGACCTAGTTAGGAGATATGGGGGTGGATCTTGGGGCTGGGAACTCATGAGTTGTGATGTCAGCCTGTAAAGGGGTTTCTGACACTGTCCTTTCCACTTGCTGAAAGATGGTATGAAACTTTGCTCATAGAGGAGCTGTAAGATGGTGTTTGAGAACTAAGAGCTGGAAAGAAAAATGTAATTTTTTCTTTTTTGTGTTGGAGGGTAGTGTGGGTTTTTAAAAAAAAATAAAATTGAGTCAGTTGTTGATAGTCTCTAGAGCTGTTAAGATTAACTTTTTTGTCTGTAGAAGTGCGAAAGTTGCCTTTGTGTGACCTCTGTTATCCAATGGGCTGCTTAGTCCTTTTTTTTTAAGGGGAAACAAAGCACATTTCATCTGTGAACAGGATTTTATAGGTGTATGCCACCTTTGTTTTATTCTGCTGCCTTGCTGGTAGATGTAGAAGTAAAGGGCTTTTGTGAGAACTCATAAAATCTAGACAGTAATTGCCGTGTTTCTTAACTGCTAAAAGTACTACACATAAGTTTGTCTAAGAAATTTTCTTATGTTGCTTGATTCGTCATGTTCCCATCGTCTTCTGATTTTTTTTTTTCCTTTCATCTTTCTTTAGGTGCTGTTCAAATGCTTTCAACCACCTTCATTGGCTGTATAAAAATGTTTGTTCCATGCTGCTTGTATCAACACAAAACACGCATCTCTTATCCACCCAATTTCATCATGATAATGCTGTTTGTTGGACTAATGAGGTAAATGGTTAAATATTTCCTAGAGATCTATCTGGTTGCTTCGTTGCGTTCTTCTGAACGGAAGCTGTATTTTCATGGCTCTCTTTCTTTTCATTCTTGATGGGAAAGCGTCTGAAGTATTCACCCTTCCCCCCAAAAAATCACAGCATAATTTTATTTTTAGTTCCTATTGCTAAATGCTATGTTCCTTTTTCCAGATGTCAGTTTTTTGGCTAGCTTGGCTTCCCATCACATTTGGCTTCTTTCAGAACATACTTCTCTTTCCATTTACTTTCTTCCTGTTCTCTTTTGAGGCTGATGTTTGTTTAGTGTACTAGTATTTATTATGATGTTGCTTTGTTTCCCTCACCTTTTCCACCAATTTGCCTCAAAAGTGATACAGACTATTAACATTTATGTTTTAAAAAGTAAGTATTTGCTGTGTGCTGGGATAGTATCAGTTTGTGGTCTAGGAGAGAATAAGAACATATGATTTGGTTTCCTCTGCACTGCAAAAGTGATAAAGGATAACAGGATTCAAATTAATTCAGAGTAGCTTTATCGTAATAACTCTGCCACCCTGTTGTTTAATTTCATGGTTTAAAGTATGGTAAATATGTAGTGTACCTAATTTACACTAAAGATGGATAACTGCAAATGATAAAATTTCTTTGGTGAATTACCGTTTATCAGCAGAATTGTACTAACTTTTTCAGCTGAGCCTATTGAAAGCTTTAGCTTAAAACACTGTCATCTGAAGCTTGGTTGGAGTGCACTGAGAAGTAAACTTCGATGTTTTCTGGAAGTCTGCTGTACATCCATAGAAATTGCACAGTTGCCCAAGGGTGCCTTCATTTGTGCTAAGTAAATAATAATGTTTAAGGCAAAGTGCAAAGAAATAGATCTGACATGCTCCACCTCGCAGGTGCTGTGGAGTAAAGGTGTGCAGCTGATCAGTTACTGCAGTTCAGTCATGCTACCATGATTTGATAACTTGGTTGCCAGCTAGCTACTCATGTCCATCTTCCTAGTTACTGCAGCTCAAATTTATAAACCTAGAGAAATGATAATGCAGTTCTTTTTTATGCTAGATGTCTAATAGTAGCTCTTACAGCATTATTTTATTTTCTGCTTAATTTCATGTGGTGTTCTATTACAGATTTGCAACAGTAGTCTTGGGTCTTGTCAGCTTGAAAAATGTGGCAGTTTCATTTGCAGAAACTGTTAAAAGCTCTGCACCTATTTTCACTGTTATCATGTCTCGGATGATATTAGGAGAATACACTGGTAAGTACTTCACTGTTGAAATGTGGGGGGTTTTGGTGTTTTTTTTTTTTATAATACTGTCACTTAGTTGGCCATGGATGAGGAGATTCCACCAAAATACAGTAAATGCAGCTGGAAGAATCATTCTGTTTGAACACAATAAGCAGAGTGTATATAAAGTAAAAAGGATTTATTTTAATGCAGCTGTGTAAGGGCATTGTTGCTCTGAAGTTATTTTTCTGTCAAGAAAATATTATTGCAGCCTTAAATAACTGAAGTTCAGTGTGTTCCTTCTTATAAGGACAGCTTGCTGCTCAGAATTTAAAATTCTTGAATTTCTCCACTGTGTTCACTCTGTGATTAAAAAACAAAAACCCAAACAACTGGCTTACTACAATATAATTTCTTCCAGTCCGCAATATAATTTCTTTGCGATTCCACTTGCAATTGCATGCTATTTGCTGGAAGAGATTTTGCTTGTTACCAGCTATAAGTCATAGGAGTAATACAGAAGCCATGTATAGATTGCTTTGTGACGCAAAATGGCAAAAGGCTGAAATAAGCCAGAGGAAGAAGAGTAATTAAATCACAGAGTTAACAGGGAGAGTATAATTTTCTTCTGTCATTTGGTGAAAAAGATGAAACGAAGATAGTCATCGGTCCATTTTCTTTCTCCAAGGGAGATACTTTTATCAGCGAGTATATGTCTATATTGTTTTCAAGAGCACCGGGCTATTGTCTGAGATTTCACTTTAGAACCTCTGTACTTTAAAATCCAGTCAAATAAGATGCTCGCTCTTTCAACCAAAGAAGTTAAGGTGGAATTTAAACTTTCAAAAACTATATTATCTGATACATGTAATTGGAAGTACAGCAATTAAACTCAGACTTAAATTTTTCTCTTCGTTTGCAGGATTGCTGGTTAATCTCTCTCTCATTCCTGTTATGGGTGGGCTAGCTCTATGTACAGCTACTGAAATCAGTTTCAACATTCTAGGTTTCTCAGCAGCTTTATCTACTAATATCATGGACTGGTAAGGCATAATGATAGTTGCATATGTGGAATAAGGGAATTTTGTTTACTGGTAGATTGAAGAAAATTGTTGCCTGTAGTTGTTTTTGTCCACTACACTTAAATATTGGTATTTAAAAATTATTTTTAACAGAAGATCCAGTTTATCATATCTGCTAGCATTCGTGAGATTAAAAAATAGTACAACTCCGTTAGTCTAAAGCAGTTAGCCCAAACTCCTTTCTGTAGTTGCATAATGTGTAAAATGTGAAATGTGCAGAAAACATATCTACCCATCTAAGAGAAACAACTTTCTCATGGATTGATTTATTTGTCATAACTAAAATAAAGTAAATGGTGGTTGTTTTGTTTTTTTTTTTTCCCCAGTTTGCAAAATGTCTTTTCCAAAAAACTACTCAGTGGAGATAAATACAGATTTTCGTAAGTATTAAAAATATTTCAGGTTTGATTATAGATGGACTTTGGGCTACATAAGGAAACTATATATTTATGATTATATTGCACCAAGATTTTTTTTTTTCCTTGGACTGTTTACAGACAGCTTTAACCTAAATCACTTTATCAGGGACAGAAAACTCCTCTATGCTCAGATCCCACTGCGGTAGGTCGGAGTCTCATAATTGGCTAAAACTCTCTATATCCAGAAGTAAGTCCTTATTCTGCAGTCATACAACATCCCTTAACGTTATTAGGCATGCAGAAATGAACTTTAGAACTCACATCGATAATTAACTATGAAATGCGAGCCAGGAGTAAAATCTTGTGGTAGAATATACCTATATATATGTATAGCTATATGTGTGTATTTTACCACAAGATGAAATGCTAGTTTTGAAAACTTAATGCTAGTTTCTTGAAAACTTGTGCATTTTATCTTCAGTCTATCTCGGCCAACACAAAAAAGCAAAACCTTTGCAAGAGATTTCTGAATTTATTGTCCTCAAAGCTTGGTAGGTGGCTTTTATTACTTTTTGATATCTGTAAATACAATAATGATGCTGCTTTCTTCAGCTCTAAGAAAGAGGAAGCTTTTAATCATTTTAATCATTGTTTTTTCTCCTTTGTAGAGCCCCGGAGCTTCAGTTCTACACAAGTGCTGCCGCAGTGGTTATGCTTATTCCAGCTTGGATATTTTTCATGGTAACTTGAATTCACTAACACTGATTTGTTTTCTTTTTGACTTGTGAGCAGAATGTGCAACTAAGGTCAATCTTAATTTTTACTTTTAATTCTTCCCACTTCTTTAAAGTCACCCTGAAATGCATTTCATCTTGTGTTTGCAAGAGATTGGGGGGAGGTAAAAAAGAGAAAACTTTCAAAGAAATAATTTAATATGGACATGAGTTGACAAGTCACCCAGAAAGCCTGAGTTTATGTCAGGATTTCTGAGATCAAATCATATTTTTGTCTAAGTCCATTTAAAGTTTTATCTTAAATATTTGTTGACTTTTTGCCGATATTCACATGGTGTACAGGAAAATTGAGCTGAAGTAAGTTTAATCTATCAGGTTAAATATGTATCCTTCATATTCTGGCATTTCATCGCTATGCATCAGCATTCAGGAAAGAAAATATCTCACAGACAGGCTGAGTACGCTGGAGAGTTCAGTCAGATGACAGCTGTTTTTCTAATATATTCTTTTGGGGGGGGAAATTGTAGGATCTAAATGTCCTGTATGTTTTAGGTTTTGTTTTGCTGAAGTTTAAATGTAAAACTGTATCTGCTTATAATAGTAATAATAAGTTGGGTGGAAAATCACTTTTAGATTTGCTTATAAATTAAACTCTTAAAGTTGTCTTTTTTTTGTTGTTTAGGATGTGCCTGTGATTGGGAAAAGTGGGAGGAGCTTCAGCTACAACCAAGATGTTGTTGTACTTCTCTTAATAGATGGAGTCTTGTTCCACCTACAAAGTGTTACAGCCTATGCCTTGATGGGAAAAATTTCTCCTGTGACTTTCAGGTAAAGCTGTGTTTTCACGTCAAGAACACTTTTTTCTTTTTTTTCTTGCTCGGTATTTCTGCTTGAGAACTAGGCAGTAAAGGTATTGTGCAAAGAAATAAATAACGTAATGCATAAATGCATCAAATCAAGAAGAAAACGTTTCACATCCGGATCACCAAAAGTTTGTGGTTTGCTCCCTCACTGTGTGAGGAGAGCAGCATTTGACCCACGCTGTTGAGCTTATGGAACAGGTGCTCGCATCTACTAGGAGGCGTATTGTGTTCAGGTTTAACAGCCATTCCTTAAAGCTGGTTAATGAGTCTGACAGATTCACTGAAACCCTAGATGCAATCTTTAAGCTGCCATTTGCTTCAGTGATAAGGCAATACCTATATACATCTCGGTGCAGATATGAGTGATCAGCTCTGTATTCCTTTTTCCTGAAGCATGACACCAGCATGTCAAGCTGTATTTGTTGAATTATATGTGTTCTCTAAAGACAGTTTCCACCTACGTTGTCAGTTATCGGCAGCTTTGTTAGGCTGTTACACAATTCTGATTCAATAATTGGTCATTTGTATGAATAGCCCTAGGGCCTGTGGGGTAATCCTGGTCCTAAACCCCGAAGGCTTCTGCTGTCTTATACTTTCAGGTGCCCCTGCTACAGTCTTGTGACAATTCACTGTTACACACGTGCTTATTCTGAAGCTGTTAGTCTTCTCTACATAACGGCATGTAAAAGCATATATTCATATTTACATTTATACAAAATTTCTTAACTACTTGTTATGATGTTATTGGTATGATTTAGGTATTCTTTTCAGGTTATAATGCTGTATTACCTGAAGAGTAGCAGCAGACTCACAAATGATAGTTATGTTGCTAGTGTTCTGTTAGCGTTTTCTAGATGTCTGTGTTAGCTAGAAATGAATTGCTAGTGCTGTTCTGCATACTTAAAAACAATGGAAACAAAAACCTGGGTGAATTATTCGTACTAGCTCTAAAATTAAGATGAGCGTAAAGATACCAGTGCCGATATACAAGCAATTTGGTTACGGTATTAACTTCAGGAGGAAAAGTGGAATCTGAGTCGGTGTTTAAAAAACAAGCAAAAACGGAGAGAGGTCCCGCTACATTAAAGCATGGTTGTGTGTGGGATATGAGAAAGCCTTCTTTGGCCTTAATTTTTATATTCCTTTCCAGTGTTGCTAGTACTGTGAAGCATGCGCTGTCAATCTGGCTAAGTATTATTGTGTTTGGTAACAAAATCACAAGCCTCTCAGCCATTGGGACTGTTCTAGTGACAATTGGAGTTCTGCTATATAACAAGGCAAAGCAGCATCAGCAAGAGACTATACACAGCCTGGCAGTTGCAGCCCCGCAATCCGCACAAAGTACAACTGAAGATACTGAGCCACTCATTTCCAAGGATTTGGAACCGTATGATTAATATGGCCATTTATTCTTCCAACCTAGTGTAACTCAAAGGAGCTCTTCCTGAAAGTGGTTGTTTCTTCAACTGTTGATGCTGATTTGGTTCCTTTGAGTTCATGGCAGGCCAAGCCTGGGTCTTGAAGCAGGGAGAAAACAATGGGAAGAATCCAGTAAGCTTTGATTTACTGAGAAACTGGTATACCAGAGGACCTAGTATCATATAACGTGGTAAACGTGGTCTTTATTGTCTTTCCTCGACTGCAAATAACATACAAGCCTATATTAGAGAAAGAACTTCAGTGTCATGTGGGAAAACGATTCCTTTCTCCCTACCCGTCAAAATAATGTGAAAACACGGACCCATCACTGTATTCTGCTTGCTTGCAGTGGAATGAAATTGGTGCATAACTGAAATTCCTAGCTGGTTGTACTCTACGCTGCCTGCATCCTCCATCATTTGTGTGCGTTGTAGAACTGGAAGAAGGAACCCCCTCCTCTCCCAACAAATGACTCATTTTGGTATACGTTTAGTTGAAGTAAACTATGGAAATGAGTCCATGCCCCAAAGCAGAGATGAGCAGCTATTTCTGACTGCAAAGCTAGGAATGAAAAGTGATTTTTCTACTAAAATTTAACATGGAAATATTGCATCCTGGTTGTGTATTGACAATATTGAAATGCAAGTATACACACATATACATACACTGTATGGAGTGTTGAATTAAATATTTAGCAGTTGCTTAGAGGTAAAAAACACTGAAAAATTTTGGTGATAAAGGAAGCAGGATCTCTATTTCTATAAGAAACCATTTTAGTATTTTAATTTCTTGCATTCTGTTAACGTATTTCTGTTATGAGGAAATAAATTTATTTTCTTGTATTATTTCTAAGAGTGCAACAAAATACTGCCTTTTAGAAACTCAGGGTTATAATTCTGACCTATGTGCAAAGTATTTCTATCATTTCTGATTACGTAAAGAATCTCAGAGGTATCTGTGACAGAGATGGAAGAGAGGTCACTAAAGGGAGGAATATTAACGATAAACTGAGGCTAATCTTTATTTCTACTGCTTTTAGGAAGTTTTCTTTTTTAAGGAAATTCTGTTTTGTGGTAAATCAAAGATAAAAAGTTAACTTTCAAAAATTAGAACAAAAAATTCCTAAGTATTAGTGATTCGTTTTGGCAAAAACATGTAGTTACAAAAACATTCAAATGGACTTTGTGGTAACAAAATTAAAAATCAGCTCATTTTAATTGTTAATTTAATAATTGCCACTGTTCTGAAAGGTTGTAGCATGGCATTAGAAGAATGGATAAAGTGGTCTTTATGGTAACAATAATTTCTAATAGGAAATTACCCGTGGAGCTTCTGCAAAATTTAAGCTTTAAATAGCGCGTGCTCGTTTTGTCGTATGCCTACTTCAGGTTACGTTCCTATGCACGACTGGTTGCCTGGGGCATGTTTTCTGAAGATTTGAGTGGGAGGGAAATGTCAAGTTTTTTCATCATCGTGTATGTGATGTCTGTGTTTTTTCTTTGTACTCCTGTCACTTTTACAAAAAGCTGTGGACTGTGGGGTGGAGCTCTGTGGGGTTTTTTGTTTGTTGTTTGGGGGGTTTTTTGTAGTTATGCTTTTAAAAATCTCAGCATATTTGGCAGAAAACAAAGTCTGGTTTGCATCGTATTTCTACTCTTGTTGGAAGACAGAAATATAAGTGGCTTTCTGGTTGCCTAGCTCCGTTCTCATGTAAACCCTTTCATCAACCGATCGAGCTTCATTTTAAAAGCTAGCAGGCTTTTGCCTTTCCTATTGCTGGAAAACTTTTTGCGAACCAAACAGCCGGGAGGATTTTGGAACTTGTGATTTCTAACAGGTCTGGGCTTATTAGTGGCTGGTTTAGCCCCACCTGTTCTGGGGCAGCACGATAATCCTGTTTTACCAGGGCTTTGTTTCCACAGTGTTGATCTTACGTATTTTTCTATGCAGTCTTCTTGGCCTTTATTTTTATTAAACAAACCAACCTCTTTACTGTCCACCTGTAAGACCTTTTCTTCCTCCAGCCATACTAGTAAGTCTCCTTTGCCGTTGTTCCTGTTGGGTAAACAAGGACGACTTTGCTCCCTGTTAAGAATTCACTACAGTATCGTGCCCCAGCGGTCTGCCTCTTGATTGCTGTGTGGTGGCACCGGTACTGCCCGGTTCTCGTCTGGAAGTTTGCTGGTGAAACGCTCTGGGGTTTGGCTGGCGTTTGGGCACAGCCCGGACACCTGGGCCCCGACCGAGACCAGCTCCGTGAGCTGGAGCGATGTGGACTGTTTGTTTTGCGTTTGTCAAGTACGTTCTCGTAGAAACGGCATGTCTTCCTTAAAGTGTGAATTCCTGAAATAGCACAAGTCCTTGCTGAAGAACAGAGACTTGCAAATGTGAGGTGTTACTTGCAGCGGTTAACGTGTGTCTGACAGATGGATGATGAGGTAGCTGTGCATAATGATCTTTCCCGTCATGTATCGCGTCGTAACCTCGAGCCGCGGTTAAGTAACTTCGCGGTGAAGTTCTGTCTGCAAAGTCTCAACTAATTTTCCTTTTTAGGAGTTGCCCCTCTCACCCTGAACTGATGTAAATTCCCCTTTGTAGCGCGTTACTTCTGTCGCCGCTGCGTAAGCGGCTTGTTTAAACGATCGTTGGAATGACGCTTTATTCACGTGAGCAGTAATAAAAATTAACGTTTTGTACGGAACGACAACGCGCGGCAGAGGCGGTGCTGG